TTTATGCCAAATGGTCCAATATCATTAATGAAAGCCCCCTTTATTTACGCGAGAGGATCCAAAGAAAAGGATTAATTGTTCACGCAGTTTATGTTCTCCAATTCTTCGTCGTAATATAAATCTGCCTCAAAATGGTCGACTGCCTCTGCTTTTGCCTTCCTTCCACGCTGCTTCGGGACCAGCTGCTTCAAGAAAAGCTCGTAGTAAGCTTTATTTTTCACATACTTCAGCAGCTTCCGGAGATCTTCTAGTTTGGCTTGTGGTAAAGGTAATGGAGACAGTATAATCGGTCCCGGAAGTGGTGGTACCCCTGCCGTTTTTGATTGAAACACGAAGGATGAATACGATGATTCATTGACGTCATATTTATAGAAAACAGTTCTTGGCGATGATGTGCGGTATTGGAAGCTCATAACCTGTTTGAATTTGAATGTTTCACCGTTTATGTTTGCAGTGGGTTTAGTGTAATGCATTTCGAGGTCCTTGAGCCCCAAGAAATCCGATAGCTCCATTTCAATAACACTGAACGGCACTTTTCGGCGTATACCAGCGATAAATACCGCCCAATCGTGAGGCGTTTCTATATCAATAGCAGCTACTTTTTTCGCCTTTTCGATACTTGCATGGACACAGTCGACTTCCATGTGACTATGTCCAGTGCACATGAAATTATGCGTTATTGTGAGCTCTCGATTTGCATTGACACATTCGTCAATGAAGAATGTGAACATCATGCACACCGTTATGTTAAGGTTTTGACCGCCACATCTGTCTGAGTAATATTGCAACCGTGTTACTTCTTTCTTAGTACTTCGCAGATCTTTAAGAAGGCATGATGCTATCTCCTGAGATCCCCTACGGGCCTTGCTTTCATCCCAGATGTAACAAGTTGCCTGATTCAAACCATCACTTGTTTCGAATGTGGTTAAGTTAAGTGTATACAGTTGACGAGAATAATATGACTGTCCGCATTTTAAATGCGGAGTTGCAAGCACCTTCTGCAAATCAAAAGTCACAGTTCGCACAGTGGATGAGTTCTTTGCGTCGGCAATATCTTGTCGCTTCGATGCATAGACTCGTGTGGCTACTTCATGGTGAGCTTCTTGTGATTTTTTCACGATATCTCGTTCAAAATCGTCACAGGCTATCTGCAACTTCATTCTAAGCTCGTCACATTCGCCACACGTGTCTGTCTTCGGTTTTCTGAATGAAAAATTGAAAGTTTTGAAGACACTGCGATACGTGTTATAATGCACTTGTGGGATATTGGACTCAATGCACACTTGCTTGTACAGATCATACATTTTCATAATTGTAAGATCGCCAGATAAATACAATTTAGTTGACTTTTCGCGTGTATAGTGTGAATCATAAGCTGGAAACGACAAAATATGAGCTTTGATCATATCTAGCTGCGTTTCTGTGATTCGGTTCGGATTGCGATTCTTCATTCTCAGATCATCTGGGCATATTCCGGCATTCTTGATAACTTTGGAGGCAAGCCATCTTATTTTCTTATCACCCACATCGAACGTACTAAGGACAGGGATGTAAACCGTTGACGTTTTTTACTACACTCGCTTCGTTGCCGTGCGCGACAGTCTGTTTGTATTCGTACTCTCATGCTCTACCGTCGTCTCTCTTACACAACACAAACGGTAGAACAACATTCGAGCAAAAAGAAAATTTTCAAATAACTTTCATATGACATGTGGGATTTCGTTCTAATTCCTCAATTTGGTGTAAATTAAACCATTTCTAATCAGAAATATTATTACTAGGACATCGTTGCTTGCTATTTTCAGAATTCACACAAGCACAACATCAGCAGCTCTTGTTATGAGAAAAACTAAAATACATACATTCGTGACGGTCTTCGACAACAGTGTCGTATGACAGAGCCTATCAAATGACATTTTAGTTTGGTACTGTAATTTGATAGCTTGTTTTGCAACTGTCGCAAGCAAAGGCAGTCGAATATCACAGAAAATGTGTCGACTACTGTGACCGCTTACAAGACTGACTAAGGAACATTTGCTTACAAACTCTCTGTTTCCCGTTTAGTGCAGGCATCTCATACACGTTAGTGTATACTCGTTTAGAATTCAAAACCTTGAAAGAATAGAAAATATAAGGTAAAAACATAATTTTAAGAGATTGAGAAATACCAAAATGGACTCTTGAGGCCATTACAGGGTAAACATACCCAGTTGATTGAGCAAACGAGGTATTTTCACGAGATAAGATATCGAGAAAGTTATAAAATCGTCGTACTCTTTTAGATACATGTATCGTCGGTCACATGTTCTTTTTCCATAAATGCTGTTCAGTATTTTTCAAGAAAAGTTGGTTTTAAAGTTCACCTCCCACTCATATACAATTGGAAAATTTAAAAATCTGTACATGAAAACCAAGCCGTTTTTTATGTGGTAATACGGCTTTCAAAAGCTAACGTTTGGTAGATACAAGATTTAACACGAACGACGAAATTTATTGTTATAACCAGTTAAAATAATAACTTACTCTGCTTCTGCACACCGGTCTCACTGCAACGTGACTGATGAGAAACTGATTTTGTCCCGATGATTTTAGTTTTAGAAAATTAGACAAAATCTGTTTACGTAGTTTGTCGTTGTACTTTAAGAAGCATTTCAATCGAACGCATCCACATGCCTGTTTTACTCTTCGTGCTGGACCTACTGTACCATCCATCCGAGTGTATTTCAAGCCTCTTTCCTTTCTGTTCCGGCGAATTTTCCATGCAGCGATTTTTGTTTGTTTGCGTTTAGCATTAAACTTGACTAGCTCGCCGGCTTCATCGGACGCTTCAACATGATTTTCAGAAAATGTTGCAATGGTTGAAAGTGGACGGCGTGGTAATTCCAGAAGTTTCCCTTTGCGGCAAACTATAAAGTTATTCTTCATAAGTGATTTTTTCAAGGATAGGGCATAGAACAAATCTTACCAAGGTAGGTTTAATGATATATTATGGAAGAAAAAAGTATAAATGACTCTCCAAAATATATTATTACCAAAAACCAATATCAACTACATTTATAAGTGAATATAAAACTTACCAAGCGTCTCATTCTCGTCATCAGATTCTTGGTTATGTTTGATGTTGTTTTCCTTAGTATTATTGTTCTCGTCTAAGATCTCTTTGTCCGATTCACTGTCGCTCATAATAGATTGCAAGTGGAAAGGCTGAAAATATTCCATAAGGGAATGCTCCGTGAGGCCTTCCACGTCAGCATTCTCTTCAAATTCTTCGTCCTCAGCCTCGTCATCAATTAATTCAAACATTGGGTCTACAAGATTTTGAATATCCTGCGCGTGATTCTCGTTTAGCGAAGTGGTCAATTTTCTCATGGTCATAGGAGCACCTGGTGATGGATTCTTCTGACATTGTATTATGCATCCAACGTTGGATTCGTCAGCTGTCGAACATTCGGTGGGCGGTTCTTGAACTTTCGAAGCATCCTCGGTCTCCTCATTAATTAAGGCAATCATTGGGTCTACAGAATTTTGAATACCCTGTGCTAGATTCTCGTTTAACGAAGCGGTAAATTTTCTTATTGGAGCATCTCGTAATGGATTCTTCCGGTATTGGATTCCACATCCAACGTTGGTTTCGTCCGCTGACGAACATCCGACGAGTGATTCTTTGGCATCCGGAGCGGATTCAATGAAACCAGGTTTCTGAGCTACCTGCGTGCAGTTCCATGAACTGACAGGATTGAAGGTTGAATTTTGTCGCTTCATTGCTAAATCAATCGGCACGTTCTTCTCCACCCGTCGAGGCACTGTTAAATCGACAGGTTGGTCGATGATCAGCTCAATCATGGGGGACGGTTCCGGTAATGTATGCTCCGATTGTATGCTTACCGTGGATGAAAGATCCAACGGACCAGAGTTGGTTAAATCCAGTGGTTCATTTTCGAAACTTCTTTTCCGGCTTGTGTCGGGGGTCGAAGTAGGGCAGCGGAATGATACATTATTATAATCTAGCATCTGCGTTTCGTCTGTTTTCACAATAACATATGCAGCTACAGATGGTACTCTGGATACAGAGCTGGATGCCGTCAGTTCTGACGCTCCTGTAAGTAGATAAATATTATTTTAAAATTGAACATCATTGCCGTCTATGCCAAAGCTGCGATGTGATTTTCTGTGCATTTTGTTGTTCAAATGCCAAGCCTCCACCGAGGAGCATGTTCCATAGGAATACAATAATTTTATAAAACTATAATCGAACACTTTGTAATGACACGACTATCAAAAAAGAAAAAGACTAAGTCAAATTGTGTTGAGTAAATCCGTGATAATATTATGGATTCACCAGGAAACGGACAAGAAGGAGACACTATAAAAGAACGTCAGAATGACCACCAATATCTAGGCAGCGCACATAAATGTAAAAAAAACACTCACTTAACAACAGTTCAATGCCAGAAAGATTCATGTTTGCGTGGTACGGGAAATTCTTTAAATGATTTGTTTTGTTGCTGTGTCACTTCGACGACTGTGACAAACAATCATCTCTAACAGCTGAGGGCGTAAAAACCATCATGTGTCAAACATGACACAGAATGCTTTTGCGACTTTTGCTGAAGCAAAGGGCGTATTGTGCAATTGGGGGCAATTGCTTTTATGCCATTATTGATTTTTTTGTTTAATCTGATTTATTATCATTTTTTAGGGAAGCAGATTAATACGGTAAATAGTTCAATAAATTATCAATACAAGGTTAGCATAAACTCATTTATGTTGTTTTGGTTTTTAAGCCGTTTTCAAATGTTACGCCTGATTTTATCCATACATGGGTATTTTGTTATTACCGTGCATGGATATGATTGAAATCGCTTGCACCCACCGTGTCATTTCACAGAAATATTCTGAATCCCCTGGCAACACTGGCATCACACGTGCTGTCATTCGATAATAAGAGGTTTGTAAACATAACAAAACTTGACGTCAGTCAGTCAGTTCAAATTCGCGAGTCGCGACCGCATCGTTACGGCTGAGTGGTAGAAAATAGTGATTTCGGACATTGACCGACGTTAGAAATCTACCAGCAGCTAAGTTGCCCTGCGTTTAGGTACCGTAAGTGTAAATAAAAAGCCATGTCAATTACGGAGAAAGACCTGTACCGGGATACTCCCGTGCGATATCTCGGTAAGTTAGACGCTAGAATTGGGCTAATAGGATGGATGGCGCCAAAAGCCTTCTGCGGTCTGATGTGTTACATCACATTGCATGATAATCACTGTGATTGCTGTTTTCTTATAAATTGATTAAATCAATAATTATTTGTCTCGAACGTCACACGTGATGGCAAATCGCGATCAATAATTGCAGGTTACGCAAACGAAATCGGCGAAGCATTCCGACCGGTGGTCAAGAAAATATTCGTACATGCCAGCTATGCCGTTGCGGTGGGGTACGTGCTGGCCGATACGGCGGACAAATCTCGGAAGCAGTATGCGGTGAGTGATCTCAGAATGTTTTTCTTTATTTTGTCGGGGGTTTATTTCTAGTTCAATCCTAGAAACCGGAAGTCCTTGGTGGAGGGGCACGTGGAGCAGCAATCGCATCTGGTGACACTTTGCTATGGCAAATGTTTGCCTCGGTTATCATTCCGGGCTTCACGATCAATCGGTAATCTTATTGTCTTATTTAAATCAAGTTAAACTGACTGTTGTACCTATCTTTTAGCATTTGCTGGCTCTCTAAGAAGGTTCTCTCGAAGAATAAGGTAAAAGGTCCCCTCGGAAAATGGGCTCCAACTGTATTAGGTCTGCTAGCTATTCCGTTCATCATTCATCCCATTGATAACGGAGTGGACCTGGTGATGGATGAAACCTATCGAAAATATGTGAAATAATATCACCAAAACCATGACGCTTATTATTGTTTGCCAAACATTTGACGATTAGTTAGGTTTTGTTGTTTGATCGTCTTTATAGATTTCCTGCAATTTTGCTTTCGTACAGCGGTACCTACGTATTCTCGAACGCAATGACACCGTGTCGTCGGTATAGGGTAGTAAATGAACTAAGAGACAGTATCTTTAAATTACAATAATCGCAGAAATGGCTCGAAATAGAACCAACGATAGTTTTAGAAAAATATATCGTTGAGTTGTAAGCTTCTATGATACGAAGTGACACGCAGTTGAAAAATAGGAACAATTTTTCAAGAAGACGGGTTAAACTTTGGTGCTCAAATTACTCTGTACTAGAACAATAAAATCGTTAACTAAATGTTTAGAAGCAGTGTTATCAATTTCTTCGAAATTCCTTAAATTACTGCAGTTATTGTGAGTTGTGAACAAACGGCGGTGAAATTTTTATTTGTCAAATCGTATACACTTAACACACCAAACAATCACTAGGAGTCATAAAAAAAGGCAAATTGTGCTTAACATCAATTCATTCGTAGAACGGCAAGGTCGAGATTTTTCTCGTGCGATTTGCGGTCTTCCTGCGCAGTCTGAAGGCGTTCTCCACCCAACCCGTTATCTGCTGAACTCGAGAACTGATCAGTACTTTCAACTGCTTCGGCAGATTCCGGACCTGATTTACCTCGTTTTGATCGTTGTCGGCAAAGTGCACGTGATGTTGTTGCGTCACTTTTTGCGGAATCTGAAACTGGGAAAAAAACCGTGAAGAAGTATTAAGCAAGAATTGATTTCGGAAGCGTTGTTCGACTTTTGTTACCACGTTGTTGTAGACAGTGTTGAACTGTCGATCGCGAACCGGTGCCTCTTGATTGGTGCGATGTTGAATTTCTTTGCGCTTCGCAAACAGTGGTCGAAGTGTTACGAAGTAAAACACTTCGGCTACTGAAATAAGCGAAAAACCCATGAATAGTCCCAAAAGGCCGCCGATGTTGGACAGGAAGTCGGTGAAACCGATCAGCTCGCCTTTGGTGAAACTCCTGAAGTACATCTCCGAGAAGAAGATGTACACCAGGGCGATGTTTTCTCTGGAAGCGATTGCAGACTTTCTTAAAGTTCCTATGTGAGATCGAACGGTCTTACCTAGCATACGATTCGTTGACATCCAGTAGACTTTCGCGAACTTTGAATCTACCAACGCACAGATCGGCCGTTGAAAGATCCATTGTGTAGGCAATCTCCGAACATCCCGGCAAGCAACTGCAGATCAACGTAGTGTTCGCCGTAAGTGCAATCGATGATCGAATTTTCTCATAACATGCAGCATCGCCCTTACTGCAGATTTTAGTGTCCTCCTTCAACTTTGGCATGTAGTAGAGTACGCAACCACAGTTTTCCTGAATCAAACGCGCTTCGCATTCCATTTCGCAGTTGTTTCTGGAATATGTCCGGAAGTACGAAAGATTCGCCTCGTTGGCAAACACACACTGTCTTTGCGCTTGGGATGCCTTCCGGATCAGATAGGATGCATCGCTTAGTATAGGGGTAACGATGATCCGATTTTCCGTCCCGACTTGGATGTAGTGAGCGAACTCAGCCATTTTGGGTGTTTCCATCGGATTGTGCAGCATCAGCTTGAAACCGTACGAACTGGTCGATGAGCAAAAGTACTCCTGAACGTTGGCGTCCAGAACAACTGTAAGACCCATATTGGCGCCGGTTCCGGCGATGGCCCTCGGGAATGTCACGTTGGTCTGTTCCCCCACAAATCCTCCCTCCGGTGTCCATTCGATTGGTTGGAAAGGATTATCCGGCATATCGCCTTGTACCGCCGCGATATCTTTGTTCCATAGTAGAAAGGCCTGATCAACGCTGTTGAACGTGCAGCACAGGCCTTCGTCGGTCAATACCGATCGGAACATGTGTTCGCATTTGTGAACCTTCTGGGCATAGCGGCACGCTTTCACCATTACGCGACATGGTTGGGTTACGTGAAATAACATTGTACGCACCGTGGACCATTTACCTTCGTAGTTGGTCAGATTGTATTCGCCATCCAGGGAGCAGATACTGTTCAGGACTGCTTCCTCGACAGAGTTGTGCTCTATTACTTCGGCTGCCGATCGAGTGGCTTGATTCATGTTGCAAATGGTGACGGCCGGAAAAGAAATTTCCTTGATGTGGGTCGCTGTCGGGCTTAGGCCGATGATGATTGGCGATGATTGCCATTTCTGGTAGACGTTGGTGATGAAGTATATCGACAAGGCCGCTACCAGGATGAATGAGATGGAGAAGAAAGATCTGCGGAAGACACGGTTGGAAGTTACATGAAATCGACAGTGGCTTAATAGTGGAACTAAACCTTTCCATAATGGAGAGACTGATTGTTCCTACATACTTCAGCCCGTGGATGGTGGTATTCAAGCAGTATTCTCGGAAATTCTCGGTGAATGACAGCTTGGGAGATTTGCCTATGGGTTAGAAGGAGTGTTGAAACGAGTTGCGTATCATGATAAGTATCAGGAAATGAATTACTTTTACCAAATTGAAGCAATCTGGACGATGGTCCGTTGAATGTTTTTCGAAACAGTCGCTCATTGGGGATCCTCATCGTAGATGCTAAAACGAAAAAAATGCCCGAGCAGAAAACGAAATCAAAGTGAAAACTTATCTTTATTAAAATGAGTTATTAATATGTTTATTTCTATATAATGAAAATACAAATAGGAAAGATCTTAATTTGTAAGCATTTGCATATTTGAATTATAACAAAACCCAAGTAACCAGAGTACTGCGTAGTAGGCTGCGCGTGTGACCGAACTTGACGTTCGTTTTTTCTTCTCAGAGTTGTTTATGTCTATTTGGTTATTAATCCGCTTAACATTTTAAACGTTGACCAAAAACGCGATTATCCGTTTCAAAAGGAATAAAATTCTATTCCCAAGGGATACTGGCTGTACGGCATGCTGCTGTACTGACTGTGATTGCCGATGACATACGGTTTCGAAAACGAAGAGGAACCTAGGTATTCCATTGTTCATCGTATTCGCGTCAAGAAATTGCAAGTCACTGGACTTCCCAACTAACAATTTTCACAATGTAAACGCTTTACTCATTTCATTTTTACAGCCTTAAGCTGTATTCAAACGTTATACGATATGATGCAACCTTTAATCAACCTCTATATAAGCAAATCTGGCGAACTTAGTCAGCCACTTATGGCTGTTGGGACGGTTGGAACAAGCTCTTATTGCATTTCCATTTACGCTTCTATACAGCTGTTATCCTGCTGTTTAGTTGTGTGCGAACTTGAAAGGCGCTTATTCAACCTTATCCATCAACCACTACACAGCTTGTTTTTTTTGTTGGCACCAGGAATAGTGTTACTGCTATGACGGATGCCTGGGGCACTCCAGTTTCCTCGGGGAACGGATCCGAGCGAGTGTTCCCGACAGTCACCTGGAAGGTACGATCAAGGAGGAAATTCCGTACAAAATGTGTGATGTGACCTTCCAGGCCCCAGCCGATGAGCTGCCATGTCCTGTTGAACGCCTTTGAAATATCAACTCCGCATGGTGACCGTTGTCCTGGGCTTCTTTAAGTACTTTCCGGAGGGCTGCAAAGTAAGTGGAGGAGCCGTGTCCTTGCCTGAACGCATACTGCCGTTCGTCGGGGAGGCCGTTTGACTCCAGGAACTGCTTAAGACGACGATTTACCATTCTCTCCATCGCTTTTGCCGCGCAGCAAGTGAGCGCAATCGGCCTAAAGGAGGAGGCTTCTTCACTAGCCGTGTTGTTCTTCGGAATGGGTTGAATCCAGGAAATCCATCCAGCTAGATCGCTTTGCGTCACGGATCACATGTCTACACGAGAGATGGCGTCCTCTGTAAAACTTCAGCGCTTCCTTCCTTCCAGGGTCGTCTAAGGCAAGACGCTTAAGCCGGGGTAAAGCTTTGCGTCGCGCTTTCACCGCACATTTGGTATCCTCGTTCCACCAACGTAGGGCTTTTCGCCGCTCAGCTACGCTACCCATCCTTGGGATAGATAATGCTGCAGCTTCGTAGAGTACTTCCGTGAAGCTCGAGATGTCGTTCGGATCGCGTTGCTGAAGGAGAGCGTCGGATTTCACTTTCAGCTATTTTCAAAACATGGTACGATAAAAGAAGCTATTATCTAGCATGCAGGGTATCAAAATCAACGATTCAGATAAAGATAATGTCATTCTCCTTTTGTTAACACTTATGATCAGTACAAACCCAAAAATCACAACGGACGGTTTTGGCAGCGATTATGCGTTTATCATTTGTATTACAGATCATGATCATATGCAACAGCGAATAATCTTCAATCATCATCATCAACTGTCGACACTGAAAATTCCCCATATAAGTCAATAAAATTCAAATACCCTATAATATCAGCATTTTCGAAACGGGGATGACGTATAAAGATCGAAAATCGATGTTCGCCGCCATTTTGAAATCTAAGATGGTGGCGGTCGATTTCAGAATAACTGTCAAATACCCTACAATATTGGCATTTGTGGAACTGGGATGATGTATAGAGTTCGAAAATTGATGTCCGCCGCCATTTGTAAATCCAAGATGGTGGCCATGAAATTTGATGTCTGCCGCCATTGGTTTTAGAAAAAAAACTGTACTCTACAATATGGGTATTTTTTGAACGTTATCCCCGTTCCAAATTAGATTTAGATGTCTAAATGTAAAGGGCGAACACGAAATTATTGCGACACCGAGAATGTCATGCCAATTTTCTTATAATGTTTAGAATCAAACCAAAATTTTAGGGTAGTTTTATACATATATTTACTTCAAAAATCAAAAGAAAAGTTAATCGATGGAGCCTTGAGTGTAAAATTGAACGCATTTTTGCTTGATGCCCTCCATCAAAGTCTTTACAGTGTCATCCGGTACCAGTTTCTCAGTTTTTTTTTTCCATTTTCTTAACATGTCCTTCTCGTCTTTGACTGTCTTCTTGCTCTTCCGAAGTTCCCGCTTCATTATTGCCCAGTACTGCTCCACCGGGCGCATCTCCGGACAGTTTGGCGGATTCATGTCCTTTGGAACAAAATGGACAGAATTGGCCTCATACCACTCCAGGACACTTTTAGAATAGTTGCATGATGCCAAATCTGGCCAAAATAGCGGAGCTTCGTCGTGCTGCTGCAAGAACGGCAAAAGGCGCTTCTCGAGGCACTCAGATTTGTAGATCTCGCCATTTACTGTGCCCTTTGTCACGAAAGGCTCACTCCTCAGTCCGCAAGAGCAGATATTTGGAGGCGAACTTCGACATTTTCTTCTTCTTAAATTTGTCGTCCACATCGCACTTGCTCTTGCCGGTGAAAAACTCCAACCCCGGAATTTGCTTAAAATCGGCTTTTATATACGTTTCGTCGTCCATCACACAGCAGCCATATTTTGTCAGCATCTTCTCGTAGAGCTTCCGTGCCCGAGTTTTAGCTGTCGATTGTTGCCGCTCATCGCGGTTTGGGAAGTTCTGTACCTTGTATGTATGTAGTCCAGCTCTCTTCTTTGCATTCTGGACGTAGCTCTGCGACATGCCGATCTTTTTAGCCAAATCACGGCTTGAGACGTTGGGATTTGCTTTAATCATCCGCTTCACCTTTCCCTCCGTCTTTTTGTTCTCCGGTCCCGGTTTTCTTCCAGCTCCTTTGCCGTGGTCCAACGTCAACCGCTCCTGGAACCGCTTCAACACTCTGGAGACGGTTGAATGGTGAATGTTCAACATTTTTCCCAACTGCCGGTGCGACAGGTCAGGAAATTCCAGGTGTTTGGAAAGAATTTGTTCTCTCAACTCGCGTTGGTTCACCTCCATTTTCGTTGAATCGAAAAACACGACTTCGAGTTTGACAGCATGTACACAATACACATCAATGAGAAAGTATGCAAAATTTGGTTGATTTTTACCCAATGGTAAAAAAGTTATGCCCTGTTGAATGTGTCGCAATAATTTCGTGTTCGCCCTTTAAGAAGAGAATCTAAGATGGTGATTTCTTAAAAACTATCAAATACAATACAAATATGTGTATTTTTTTAACCGAAATGACGTGTAGATGTCGAAAATGGATGTCTGCTACCATTTTGACTTCTTTATTTGACAGTTTTTTTTTTATTTAACCCAAGGCCGCCTTATTGGATTTCAAAATGGCAGCGGACCTCAATTTTGGACATCTACAAGTCATCCCGGTTCCAAAAATACCCGCATTTTAGGGTATTTGAAAGTTATTCTGAAACCGATGGTCTCATGCTCGATTCCAAAATGGCGACGGACATCGATTTTCAACATCTTCATGTCATCATCTCGATTCCAAAAATATCCATTTTGACTTCCAGAACAACTTTGCCGAATACAGAAAGCTCCTAGAGTTCGGCCGTCAGTGGATTATCGTTTTTGATGCTGATCATCGTTAGTAGCATCGGTATATGTATAGGATTTTCTTGATTCCCTGCATCCTGTTGAACGCCTTTGAAATATCAAGGGAGACTAACTCCGCATGGTGACCGTTGTCCTGGGCTTCTTTAAGTACTTTCCGGAGGGCTGCAAAGTAAGTGGAGGAGCCGTGTCCTTGCCTGAACGCATACTGCCGTTCGTCGGGGAGGCCGTTTGACTCCAGGAACTGCTTAAGACGACGATTTACCATTCTCTCCATCGCTTTTGCCGCGCAGCAAGTGAGCGCAATCGGCCTAAAGGAGGAGGCTTCTTCACTAGCCGTGTTGTTCTTCGGAATGGGTTGAATCCAGGAAATCCATCCAGCTAGATCGCTTTGCGTCACGGATCACATGTCTACACGAGAGATGGCGTCCTCTGTAAAACTTCAGCGCTTCCTTCCTTCCAGGGTCGTCTAAGGCAAGACGCTTAAGCCGGGGTAAAGCTTTGCGTCGCGCTTTCACCGCACATTTGGTATCCTCGTTCCACCAACGTAGGGCTTTTCGCCGCTCAGCTACGCTACCCATCCTTGGGATAGATAATGCTGCAGCTTCGTAGAGTACTTCCGTGAAGCTCGAGATGTCGTTCGGATCGCGTTGCTGAAGGAGAGCGTCGGATTTCACTTTCAGCTATTTTCAAAACATGGTACGATAAAAGAAGCTATTATCTAGCATGCAGGGTATCAAAATCAACGATTCAGATAAAGATAATGTCATTCTCCTTTTGTTAACACTTATGATCAGTACAAACCCAAAAATCACAACGGACGGTTTTGGCAGCGATTATGCGTTTATCATTTGTATTACAGATCATGATCATATGCAACAGCGAATAATCTTCAATCATCATCATCAACTGTCGACACTGAAAATTCCCCATATAAGTCAATAAAATTCAAATACCCTATAATATCAGCATTTTCGAAACGGGGATGACGTATAAAGATCGAAAATCGATGTTCGCCGCCATTTTGAAATCTAAGATGGTGGCGGTCGATTTCAGAATAACTGTCAAATACCCTACAATATTGGCATTTGTGGAACTGGGATGATGTATAGAGTTCGAAAATTGATGTCCGCCGCCATTTGTAAATCCAAGATGGTGGCCATGAAATTTGATGTCTGCCGCCATTGGTTTTAGAAAA